AATTAATTATAACAACACTTATTTTCTAACGGTAGCTCTAAAGCATTATATACACTAAATGTTGACGTGTTTGTGGATAAGTAACAGCTGCTAGTTGAACTGCATTTAGGTTTAGTAGTTTAACAGTCAACTGACTTTTCATCATCAATAGCGCCAGCTGGATAACTGGTGGACTATGGATCTTCTGCACATTAAAGGATTTGCCATCTCCACGCTTAGCAAGCGGGTTGGAGATCAGTTTACAAGGTTCAGAACGGTACTGCCAGGTGTGAACCGACACCGACCAGACCTCTATTTCAATGTCTACACTGCACTTTTGAATGTCAAAAATATAGAAATATTTAAAAAAATGTCAGTCTGAGTGACCAGTCCAAGTTGACAGCGCCCGTTCACGAACATGACACGTACACCAGCACCAATATCATTAAAATATTTCAGTACGAGATGAAAATATAGTCTACGAAAGTTGATCAATCTTAACACCGTGAAACTCTGACAATTATGAAGAATCTAATAATGAAGAAGACATTTCCTATTCGATCTAGAAGCCTGGAAAGTAATAATAGGAGCTGTAACCGAATAGGAAATGTGCCCTAAGTTATTATGGCACATTTCTGTGAAAAATATTTATAGTAAAATATTCAGTCATTCAGCCGATTCTGATCAAGGGTTCATTCTTAACTGGACATAGGTATGTATAAAAACTACCATACCATACTAAGCACATAAAATACCAGGAAAAGCTGTAAAACCACGAGTACTAAATTAATTAATTCAAATATACAGTGCTCTCTAGGGTAGAATTTTTTAAGATTTTTATCAAACATCCTTGATAAATTCTGAAGGCCGTAAAAATCTAAGTTTGGGGCATTTCCCAAGGTTGCAATCTTGCTTGATCATAATTTTGATAACTTGAATTTTTTGAAGTTCAGGGTCTTTTGTTTTTATTTATGATCTTTTAGATAAATCAATTTAAAAATAAACGGCAATGAAATTGTGTCAAAAAGGAAGTGACGTCACAATAGTGAAGTCTGCATTGCCGCAGTCTAATTTGTGTTAATAAGACTAAGTACGCGATACATTTTTGCATGAAACATTAAAAATAAATATTAATATGTGTCAGTTTAGATAACTGAGAGATTATAAAAGATAGGGAATGATCGAGTCATATTTAAATTACTTTTTATCGCTGATAAACACAATGTTTGTTTTATTTAAGTAAAACACCTTCCATTCATTATAATTAAGTAGGTATATGTAAACAGATATATCCTTTTAAAAAGGGAAAATGCGAGAAGAAAATACCATCCAATAATTTGACAAGTTAGTCAGGACACCACTCGCTAAAAGCAATGGGATAAGGTTGCATACAGAAAACATAAAACCTGATATCGTGGGGTTAATTGGAGTAAAAAGCTCCTGGAGGAAATCGAGGACAATTCCACGTTTTACAAAACACCTGGTGTTCCTCCAAAAACAAGGCAGATGTAATTTACCAGTGCTGGTAACTTATTGTATTTAATTCCAATGTAAAGCAGTTTAACCTACACAAATATTACGTATAACTACATAATCATAATTAAATTAAAGAACTTACTCGTAGGTACACAAAACCGCGATGCGATGCGAATTCGCAACGCAGAAAATTATGACTCGAATTGCTGCGATGCGATTTGGTGTGACCAGGCGGACCATTCCTTCGACGACCCTCAGCTGTACTTAACGTATTTTAAATTGAAAACTAGGTTATGACATGGATCGAAAACAGAAGTGAGCACTTTTGTTATTGCTTAGGAGATACAGGAAAAAGAAACAAAGAAGATTTTGATGCGCAATGCGAATCAATTCGCAAGTTCTTGCGGTGCGTAGAGGGAGCTCGCACATTTTTGCGATGCGACATCCTCAATGATACTTTGGCCCAATCGCGGTTCGAGCTTCCTGAGACGTAGTATTATATAGTTTTATTGAACAAAAACACAAGTATCAATGTTTGTTTACATCGCAATAACAATAGAAACATATTAGTGAACGGTTTAAACGTAGTAAAACAACTGGTTAATCACCAGCGAAGGTCGGACTTGACGGAGCCGGCATCATCGCAAGTAATGTGCAATAACTCGTGACGACGTCATTCTGGACAATCGTTCCGCCCACTACACTTAGCTATGTACTTCGATAAGTAATAAGCTTAAGTGATACAAATGTTTAAGACTAAGTTCATAAACGGGTAAGAGGTTCATCAAATATGAAGTTTTTGAGGGTAGTTTGCCGTTTGCAAGGGAATTTGTGGATATTTCTTTCATATCAGCGAAAATAAGGGTTACATGTTTCTTTTTGCTTCGCTACAGGATGGTAAATATAGTAGCCTAGTTCTAAATATGACAAAAATGTTCAAGACTTTGAGGCAAGAAGACCTAGTAAGGGTCTATTCAAATAAATGGATTTTAGGGGTACTTAACTGGTACGAAAATTCGCCAACAACTTTCGAAAACCGTAATTCGTAAACGCTCGACTGACAATGACATTGACAGTCGTCGTCGATCGACCTCCAATGAAAAATTAAAGCTTGACGCCTTCCGGCCAAACGTTATTAGTTTAGATGTTCATTCATAAAGAGATGACGAATTTGCAATTTTAAATAACTACTGTTAGATCACCTGTAAACATCAGTTTTTTAAATTAAAACCCTCAGGAAATCAGAATGCTCTTCATAGTCTTTATAAGCACTAAATACATCAATAAATGCTACAATCAGTACAGCTTACCTTTACTGATAGTAAACTGGCAAATTTTAAATTTGCTAGCATCCGTATTACAAAGAGGCAGAAAGAAGACCATTTTTGAACACTTTTCACATCACAAACCAACAATTTCCCTTCAAACGAGCGATTCAATTCACTAGTATTATAAAGGCCTTAGATGCTCTTGGTTTTAGACGTATGGCGTATTTGAGCGTCAAGGAAACGGCAACCTCGGTTAATAACCTGACCGATACTGAATATGCATTATCAGCATTGTTTCCACTCGTTCGTAAGACGGATTAGCCATGTCCGTATTATCAGTTCATATTTTAATAAGTACTCATTTCTTATCCAACGATACGTTATCTAAGGTGGGTGCATATACGAGTAAAGAGTTATTTAAAAATATGTTTAATGTTTATAAAAAACTGCATGAAAGGAAGCTCTGTTGGTTTATTATGAGTTTGTAAATCTGTAGTGTTTTCTCAGATCGTATAGTCTGCAGACTTGTTCTCTATCGCTTCTTTTGAACGATTACCGGCTTCTATATAACATAAACATTAGGTGGGTATCAAATTGCCATTAGAAAGCATATTTTTATTTATAAACAATGAGTGGTTTTTGTTGAAGGATTGTTTTGTAATTGAATGTGATATGTAAAGCAGTTGGAATAGTATACCACCTTTTTTTAAGGGGGGAAAATCATCGAATGGCTTCTCCCGCCTGGGTGTGGCGGGTCCCTCCCGCCTCACCCAGGCATCAGACTCTTACTGACTAAAAATCACTCCTGCACTTCGAGCCGACTTCGACTCCGTATTAAGAGTTAGTTTTAGACGCCTAATGTAAAGAATTAATAAAAAGTGATCTATCAGCAGCGTCTGATGGCCATGGCCGGAGCATATGAATCTAACACAAAGTTTGATTAAAACATTAGAATACCAAATATATTGATCGATGTCTCACAGATACTTAATTAACTATGCTATTTTCATATGGAGATAAGAAATAGAAATAATAAGAAACGCCCAAAACCAAAAGGTAATATTCCTGTAAGAATCACCCACCCAATCTTTAGAAGGACTTAAGCTAATATGCTATAAGGTCAGCGAATGTCCTTGTGAACGACCCTGGCAATTTCCACAAGCGAAATTGTGACTTACGGATAATGCGTCTTAATGTACTGTTAAGAGCGAAAATAGTGTAGCAGTATTTAGTTTCTAGGGAGGATTTGTGGCGTGGCTATTTATGCCTTGGGCACTTGGTACTATAAACACTTCGTATTTGTTTAGCGAAATATTAACGACTATTTGGGATTGCCAAGGATATTAGGACTACCGAGGATCAAATGGTCACAATTGCGGTAAAAGTGTGACAGATTTTATTCAGGGTAGTTTTGCTAATATGTAGTACAGCGGAGAGACTAACAGAATGTAGTATGTAGATAAGTATGTAGATAACCTGGTGAGTCTTATGTCATACCTGGGCTCAGTTACATGGTAATCACAGTCATAACAAAACTGATGAATATGGAATATGGCTCGGACGGTCCAACAGATTACCGGGGCTCGAAACAAAGAGTAGGAACACGGTGGTTTTAGTCAGTAAGAGTTCAATTCTTCCTCACAACTCATCCAAGGCCGAAGAAGTCATCACAAGATTTTTCCCTCTCGGAAAAAAATTTTGGCGAATATGTGTCTTTGTCACCCCTTTCTCGGAAATAAGGAAGATGTTTTCTTTGTAAAAATCGCAAATATCGTAGAGTGAGATTCTTCAAAGACAGATTACAGTACGTAATATCTACAAACACCTACAAAAACACGAGAATTCACTTTGATAACTACTGTCTTCGACCAGATGGTCGGGCCAGCTGTTTTTGGTAGCGAAAAGTATCAAATAATATTTATTATTCAATTATTTAAATGAGTCAAGTGGGAGTCGGCTCGCGACAATACCTCTCACACCAAGGTACAACAACTGGTTTAATTAACTATTTTTTGTAGGTATCCCTGGTACAATTTTTTGACGTTGCCCTGGATTATACGACATACCGTCTTTCCCCACAGGATGGGGCATTTTTCGACTGCTATTATTCTATATGTTATTACAGTCGAAAAATGGCTTCATACCAACCTTCTGAATTCAATTATCGCTATATAACTTACATGAGAATAAACATCGAAAGTAGTATTTCGGAATCAAAACGATTACGGTTTTTAAATAAAAAAGCCTAGAAATTAATAAATAAATTATTCGACATACCTTTTATAATCTCCGTGGATGATATGATGACGTCACTTTCATCCATCCTCACTTTGTAACACAGCAGCCCTGCTGACTTCCTTATTTTGACAGTTTTCGCACACCCCAGCTAGAACATGCCTTCTCTATTGGACGCTTAAATGTATTGCCGCCATTTTTGAACAGTTGCCGTAATGCATTCTGCAACAAAGAAATACATCATTAAATAAATTAACAACAATATCTAGGTACGATCGCTAAGTTTACGGTAGTACATTTTTTGAACAAAGTCATGTCGCCAACTCGCTATCCACCTCCTTGTTTTTCCTGTGGCCGCTGGCGCCGAGTGCATTCGAATGATACAAATTACGCCTTATGATGGTCGACCACCAACTTTGTCGATTGTACAACACGATTTATAGGTGTAAAGATACAATTAGATTTGATGGAAAGTAGTCTTTATTATTTTGGAATTAAGATTCAATTGAGACTAGATTTTTTGTTAAGAATGTGTCAGCTGTTACGTGGACTATGTATGGAAATCATTCCGAAAGTCGGAACCGATCATTTGATGAAAGACGTAGCTGTCAGAAATAACTAGTGAAGTAACTAACAAAAACCTTAAAATGATTATTGATTACTAATCATTCTAATTTTTTCCTAGATATTTTTATAATATAATATAATATATGAATGCAATTAAAATTAATATATGAATGCAAGTTATACTGCAATAAGACTCAGTACTAACACAAAAAAAAAAAAAAACATAACATACAAAAATAAACCATTATGCAATTTGCAAGGTGCATACCACAATCACCACAGAATACCTACTACTAAGAAATGAAGATTCTTTTAATTTTAGAGCTGACCTAAGACCAAACACAGTTATTACTCATCATGTTTTATGTACTAATACTTAAATACTAAGTTATTGCTGAGATATATAATGGAACTCTGTTCTTAGATTCTAGAGTATGTAATAAACAATAACTATTACTTAGTATTGAGGCACCGGCATCATGAATGAGATGGTATATTTTATTCCTTCAGTAATAAACTGTCAAACACCAAGCGGTCACCGGTGACCGCAACCTATTATTCTATAATTGTGTCTATAATGATGGTACTCGACAAGTTAACTAATATGGCTGTATATTTTTTTAGATCAAAATTAATCAAAATTAGTCAAAATTTTCTATAAGTAAGCGATAGCAACATAATATATCTGGTGGTGGATATTTCAGACCAAATTACAAGATACCAGAATTGTAAAGGGTTTCCCAATTTCAAAGCTGCAGAAAACGTAACGGAATACTGGGGCTCTGGCTCGAAGCACAAGTAGGAATGAGGTGGTTTTTAGACAATAACAGTCTGACATTCTCTCTCGCCTGGCGTGGGAGAAGTATTTATTTATTTATCAGACAATTTTAACACCTTAAAAAAGGCTTTCCAATTTAAAATTTTCTCTATCAATGTGACCATTCTTGTAACATATATTATTTACTTATAATGAAAGATACAGATTACTATCGAGTCATATAAAACTAACTAGTACACATCGCTTCCTATAAAGTAAAATAGAATAGTAACTGGAACACTATTTGTAGTACTTATTTCCAATTGGAATCTAACTAACTTTCCTTAAATGCCCATTGGTTAGAAAGTTATCCAATCAGCTAATTACTAATCAAGTGGTCAGTTGTATAATAATGTTTCCTGGCAGTAAATTGATTCAGTTTAAACTCTAAGCCCGTTTTTCTGACTAATAGAATTCTTATTATGTAGGTACATTTTAATTGTGTAAGCTTTACTACTATATTACTAAATACAGGCTGATGATACTTAATATTATTATTTTTTGTCATTAATTCTTGTTTTGTCAATAATCTATAATGAAGATAAAATTAAAACCATAATACTTATATGAATATTAATACTTTCTCATTCAGTGGCTCTTTGCAAATAAACATTAGCCTACGAAATAATTCTATACTAAAAATATTCCACTATCAAAAATACAAATGAGTTCAAATTAATAAAAAAAGTACAGTTAGGTATATTATCTTCTGATAGTGTATTCTTGGCAAAGATAATAATACATTCAGCCACAATAAAAACTTGAACTAACCAAGGTCATCAAAGCTAAGTAATTTAAGTAGATACAAATAAGTTTACATATTGAAATGTGAATGATGGAAATTGGTAGAAGAGGTCAAGAATAAATGTCTCAAATGTATAGAAAACCAGTTTGATTTTGTATTGTAATAGTAAACATATTGGAAATTTAAAGAATGTTGGCTTTAGCTGCATTTAATAAAAATCATTTTAGGGATATATAGGCTAAAAATTTAGCAGTACCACTGTGTATCTAAACCATTAATAATACAGGTATTGCATACTTATCTAAATCAACAAAAAAATATAAAAAAAGAGAAAAGAACCAGTGTTTCTTAGTAGATTAAAAAAAATTAAGGAAATCCAATCAGATTCGAATATGATTAATTGAATAAGAATACGCAATACGCACCAGTTTGCACAGTTGAAGATCATCAAGTTTCTGTACCCTTGTATACAGCAGCCTTGGCTGTTGACGGAATTCGGTAGTTTTGATAGCAAACACAATTCGCACGCGTTCAGGTTGACTCACGCAGACGAAAGATTCGCACAGATTTTTAAGAAATAAACACTTTTTACTTATTTTTAAACGTCCACAGCTTAAGTTTGCAACACGACAGTGTTAGTATTTCTCATAATTTCGCTCATTGTATTGTTTAGACGACGCAGTTCGTATCGGTGGCCGAGCCGCGTAGGAGTCTCTTTATTAGTCAGCGTGGGTCGATGTCTTTACTCAGATGGAAGGTCAGCTCAACTCGCACCGAATCCACGGAGCCTTCACATCACAACACGACGTTTGCATTCTATTTTTGTAGTTCTAATAAGCATACGCCGACAACCGCGGCGTTCCTAAGACTGATTTACACTGTGTAATCGGTTGATAAGATGTAAACAGAAGCACCGGCCGTAACAACAGATCACAAGGCGATTGGCTGAGGCGGCACAAGGTCGCAAATTCACGTTCAGCCTGAATGCAATTTAATTCAATTCAGTCCTCTCCGTTGACTCCGTTTAGAGAGTGACGTTTCATTTTATTTTATTCACTGGCGGAGCCGTTGGGAACAAAAACGGAAGACAATAAACTCGTTTTTAACTTTACACAGATAATATAATGTAATGTTCTGTCAAATGAAGATTGTTACTAGCGCCATCTGTGTCACACATATTTATTTCAGTTTGATGAAATCTTATGCAAGACCCAATTGTCTATGGTTATAGTTTTTATTTTTAAAAATAGATGGCGCTTCGCTAATAAATTATAAAAGTTCGTGCATGGCGCAGAATAAAATAAAAAATAACTTAGTACTAGTTTGTTATAATTATGGTAAATATAGACAATATATGACTAAACGCTATTTGACTAAGCACCTATCTATAACCATTATGGTCCATCCTAATAAATAGGTACCTAGGTACTTAATAAGTAGGTAGGTAGGTAGATCTATATGGCAACAAACGAAAGCAAACACCAAATAAATATTGGAAATTATTTATTTTACGAAAATAATATTCGTTGTACTCTTAAAATAATATCTAATTAGAATAAGCTGCGAACACTAGGGCGTGTTGTTGAGCTGGCTGTTGACCACTTTACACCTATCCGCGGCCGCCGCCACAGCACCGATGACAGCTGAACGGAACCCTGGAAAGATAGCGAAAATTATTTTAGTTTCATTAGGTATTTTCTGGTATCTGATAGGATGACCCCAAGATAATCCCAAGTAGCTTGGAATAAGAAGATTATTTGGGCAAACTATACCTAAATAAAGAAGACTTGTGTAATTTCTCTGGTGTTGCGAATGTCCATGAGCTAATCACTAATTTCTTCCTTTCTTTCTCATTAGCCTACTAACTAGTTTGCCCACTTTCCTATTAAAAATACTAACTAAATCTCGATTTTTATCACACTAACCATTCTGCTCCAAATGATAAGTTCCATCAGCGGTAGACCCCGCAGGGCTGGTGACATTATCCTTGAGTACTGCAGGGTGGGTGCCAGTCTTCACCATGGCTGCTGATCCGAGAGCCGTCTGCGCTGCCAGGCGGAGGGCGAGGTCTCGAGGTAGACCGCAACGTACACCGCCGTCAGCTAGAGACTCGATCATCATGTAGATCTGGAAGATGGATTTTGTTTTTAGATTTGTGAGAAGAAGGTAAGGTTTGAACAGCTTGCCACTGTCATGTCTAAGGCTGTTTACACAGTATACTCAACGTAGTTGCGAGAATTTTATTGTTAACCCTTCCGTATAACCCAATTACGGAGCAGTTACCATTCCATCATGAAATTTAAGCTATACGTTACATTAAAATCGGTTTTCGCAGCAATTCAAAGTATGGTAATTTAGACAATAAAAAAGAGACGCGGTGTTATGTGCAATACCTACATATCTGGCTGCCACTCTATTTACCAACTAACCAGCTAAAACCAAAATAATAGGTAGATATTAAAATTGTTCATCAACTCAATACTTACATAGGCAGGTCCACTACCGCTCAAAGCGGTGACAGCATCCATCTGATACTCTGGCACCTCATCACAAGTGCCCACAGCTTGGAACAGCTGTGTGGTAAGCTTGGCATCATCAGCGGTGGCGCGAGTACCTCGGCTGAGAGCGGCAGCTCCATGCTGAACCAATGCTGGCGTGTTCGGCATCACTCTGATCACACGAGCTTCTGTTGGTAGCACCTGAAAATTGATGAAAAAGAGAGATACATAAGTATTGCTGCATACACTTTATTTGGGATATTTTTTTCGTCCTGTTACAAATTATTAAAATTTTATAACTTACTGACCCCGCAAACATTTGCTCGCCTCTATTTTTTTTCTAATCTTTTAAACCTACCGTGAACTTCCACAAGACATTCAAGATCAAAATTAGCGAAATCGGTCCAGCCGTATTCGAGTTTTAGCGAGGATAACGAACAGCGATTTCTTTTTTATATATACAGAAAATATATCATTTAGATTCTGGTGTTTATGTATTGGATTTTCATTATTGTAGAAGTTATTCTTACTACGAAAATATTATATTCGCTGTCTTGAATTATTCTATGAAAAATGACATTATAGGATCTTTATTTAAAATGACGTTCTAGGACTAATCCATTTAAGCCCAAAACGTTTATTATAAAATTGAATTTTCGGAGATTTTAATTTTATTAGGCCATTCTGTGACTTAAATGTTGTATCATCTTATTTCGTCAAGTTTAAAGTAGGCATTAAACAAATGAACTTTATTACCTTCTCAATAGCAGCAGTAGTGACTCCCATAGCGACAGAGATGAACAGCTTGTTCTTTGAAGCCTGGAGGTCCTTGACTTCCTTCAGAACCGGCACAACCACGTCAGGTTTTACAGACACGATCACAACCTCGGATCTTTCCACCACTGGCTTGTTCTCGAACACTGCTGTGGCACCCAGTTTCTGGAGACAAAGATTGGAGATTTTTGAATATAGAACAATTTTTTGTTGCTAATGGGTTACAGATTAGTCGGGCTGATGCCCGATACGGGTTGCCACTGTTGCCAAGGCTCCGATCGACTCGAAGAGCAGGTGTGATGGTCACCGATTTGAATATGGAAATATATAATTAAACAACTTTGTTTATAGTAAGTAGTGCACCGCTCAAGGAAGCGTTCGCCCGCCTCTTCTAATTTAGTTAGTAAGAGTTAGACATTCCCTCTCGCGTCAACCAAAGAGTAAGAAGTGGAAGAAGGAGAAGGAAACAGTATCCAATGGGTCCGAAATCTGTAATAAGTAATGTAATTTCACTGGCAACGGAAAAGCGAGGGTCTATGATACAGAATGCAGATGATAACAGGATACATAGACCCGCGTGTTATAAAATGATAAATATTGCACATCGAGGCGACACTTTACAAAAAGACAGATTTATGATTCAAGAACGAGAAGAACGAAGAGCTCTCTCAAACACTCAAAATAGCGAGCCTGTACGAAAAAATTCAATCAACCGAATCCAAAACTCCATATAAGAGCTTCTTTCGAACAGAAATCATAACAACATCATTATAAGTGATATTTAAACAGAGAAAAACGTTGTAACGAAGAGTCAACGACGTTTCTTATCTCAAAAACTATAGCACAAAGTCAAGGTCAAGTGACGTCACAACGAGTTACAGTTTAACCTGAGTATGTTATTATGTTTGTACATCATTAAGATTATGCATGTCGTCATGTTTTCACCATGATTTTAGGGGCAAATCCAAATAAGCGTGAACAGGCGTGTTTTGATTAGATTAATGAACGACGAAGATATAAAAGAAATATAACAGGATTTATCATCATCCTCATTTGATTCTTTTTAATGGGACAAGCCTGTCACATCCCCCCGAAACCGCTGCAACTCCTGTAAGTCAGGGCCTACAGTAGATACAACCATCAACCATGAAAACACCGGAACACTGAAGTCCGGCGCGTCCCAGGGACATGAAGAACTGTCTCGGTCCCAAGCCATATGATCAGCCATAAGACGTCCACTGCTGAACATAGGCCTCCCCCAATGACTTTCAGATATGCCGGTAGGAAGCGATCTGCATATAGCGGCTCCCTGCGACCTTAATCAGGATCGTCAGTCTACCTTGTGGGTGGACGTCCTACGCTACGCTCGCTGGTACGTGGTTTCCACTCGAGAACTTTTTTAGCCCAGCAACCGTCAGTTCTCCAAGCTATGTACGAAAGGAATATAACTTATAACTTTGCAATGTAGGATAAAATCGTGCTTTAATCGTGCGTGCCCGTGTAAGTAATGACAGGATCATAAGTCAAGTGGGTTTTAATCCCTGTTCGAATAAAGATCTCTTCATAAACAGTCGCATTCGCATTAGTCGCCGACCACTCGACCAACTGGGCACCTCGAGCTTAGGCATAGTGCCTAAAGATAATGTCGAGGATTTAAAGGAAAGATAGTTATCAACGATGAGTGCTTTATTTATAAACGATGTTAAGTACAGGAATTTATAATAGTACTAGAGAACGATAACACTATCTATTTCTATTTCTAGAAGTACAATTGAGAGCAATAAATGGAGGCATTACCGTTTCTTTTTCATTTTATTTTATCGAACCCTCTAATACTAAAAAAAATCCCGTTTACAGGAAAATGCTTAATTTTTGCGGTAGGTAACTGAATTACTGTTAATACTACATACGTTACTTTACCAATCAATAAAATACTTTTAACAGAAAATATGTATCAAGAAAAAAAAATTTAAAACCGCTAATGGCTACGTTTCTATTCATAGACAATTAACACAAGTTGAGACGCAGGTCCGTGGGGTCCGAGTGCGCTTAAATTATTCAAAAATATTTCGAATTTCCCGTGACCAGAGGGCTGTTCTGAGTACTTTCCCCACTGACGTCGATGCGGACGAATTTTTCGATGCTTTATGTAAATAGTTATTTTTGGTTTTCTTTTAATTAATTTTAATTTTATTTAATTATTTTTTTTAAGTTTTTATTTGAATATTAATAAACGCTAATATTTTTTACACAAGTTTAAATTTAAACTAGGTAGAGATCTTTCAACAATAATTTCCAAAATTCCTAAGAGGCGAAATAATCTAAAATAATTTTAAGTAGGCAAAGCCACAGGCGGAAAGTTTGTTCATTAATAAAACACTCATCGGCTGGGATAAAATAACAGCATTTTTTTCCTCACACAAATAATTAAAAATATATCTCCTCGGCTACTTGTAAAGCATTCATGTAAATTCCAATCGAATTATTGGCTGATGATCCATGATATGTACCTACAATTTTGTTTTATACAACAAGACAAAATTCAACAAGGCACATCTAGATAGACGTGATTAAAATTAATCGAGAGGTCTGCTTTACCGCAAACCAGTAGCGATCAAAATTAAAAAAACAAGTATTTTCTTTCCCTTTCTCCCT